TAGAAAACATATAAAAAGATTAATTAACATCTGTCTTGTCCAAAAGAATAAAAATACAAAAAAAAAAATGATTATTCTCAATGTCATTGTTTATAATATAATTATGAAATAACTTTTTCTAATTTTACTTTTCAACTTTTTGCAATATGTATTTTTTACCGCATAGATTTAATAGAGATATTTAGAATACTAAATTATTTCAATGTTTAATGGTGACATCTTTTGATCAAGGAAATAGAAAATAGAGTTGTTTAATAAACTTTTAGATTTCAAATATTACTGATCTATCAAAGTTTACTTTTACTGTTATATCTTTGTTTTATATCATAGAAGAAAAAAAAACATGATAGATATTATTTAAGAATTTATACAATTGTTTAGATATAGATAACTTCTATATCAAAAAAATGAATTTATCTAAACAATTTTGGTTTCTATTGTGATTCTTCTTCAAATTTTTTTTAACTTTTATTAAATTATCATTTTATTATAGTCACACTAAAAAATAATGAACATTTCACTTGAATAATCTCCTTCATTCAATATTTTTTTATATGAATAGTTTAATATACTGATGTATGAGTACTATTTATATTAATATAGAATTGTTTATTTCAGGAAATCATCTAAAGTTCGATCATGTATATAAGACTATAAGATTTTCCATAGATTTATGTTTAATGACTAAAACTTATAAGATTCATTCAAGTCTCTCGATTTATCTTACTGATAAATAATTAAACATTTTTATCTCATCAAGAAAAATAAACAAAACTATATATATATATAAACTTATTCTATCAGCCTCTTTCAGATTGAAATATGAAATTTGCATTGTGTACTTTAGCCTCATTATATCAATACAAAATATATTAGGAGAAAAATCTCTGAGTTTTTCATTAAATATTTGTTCAATCGTTATTTATAAAAAATGATGGTGTTTGATTAGATTTAAAACAATATTTTTTTCATGATCGATTATTTGAAATTCTTGTTGTATGATGCTGATTGTAAGAGCTATTTTGTCATTATTGCTTTTATCCAAGATGAAATTTTGAGGCACAACGAAATATAATAAGAATATTATATCGCGAATATTGTTTACAAGAAGGAAAAATGATTGTTAATAGCCAATACAATACAATTCTAGAGGGTATAATTCGATTTGTTTGATGGTTTAACTAATCCACCAATGAAGAGAATAAACTTTTAAAAAATTAATAAAATTCTCATTCGAGATAAAATTTCATAAAGAATATATATATATCTATATCACCTCTATTCTCATGAACATTGTATGATCCACAAGAAAATCGCTGTATGTGGCTGAAGTCAGTACATATTCCATAGAAACAGCTGTTTTGTTATAATAAAATCATTAATCTCAGCACTGAGTAAATTCCGAATGTGAAAGATGAAATCATTTTCCTTATTCTTCTCATCTTCTAAATACATGATTGAAAATATCTATATTTCAATATTATTTATTCCATAGAGATTTCTGTAAATAGTTTTTCTTTCTGATTTCACTTAGATCTAGAAATAATACACAAACTAAAGCGTTTTTCTTTTTCTAGAACATTTAAAATGATTACTGTTTCTGAAAAAAAAAACGAAGAAAACAAAGTTAAATATGACAAAAACATCTGTCTATTATAAATAAAAGTATTTCATATATGATTTAAATATTCATGTTTTTCATATATCTTCTTGATATATATGTTAGCGTCCAATCTCGAATTGGCCTAGGCGAATCGTGGATGCTTACATTGGTCTAGTCCAATATCGGATTGATGCAATTCGGTTCACTAAAATATCAATTACTCTTAAGATAGAAGTTGAATTCGAATTATTTTTTTTTGAAATTATGTTCGCACAATACCGTTTTAAATATTACAGGTGTTCAGGCAGAAGCCAAATTTAGACTGAAGAACTTAATAACAACTTTTCATAAAAGTTGTTGTTCTGTAGAAATTTATTCATAACTTCTAAACTTTAACTTAAATCTGTCCAACGACGATTGTGATAAACAAATTGACATTATGTGAACATAATTTCAGAAAGTAATTCCAATCCAACATCTATCTCAAGAGTAAGTGATATTTTAGTGAACCGAATTGCATCAATCCGAGATTGGACGCTAACATATATATACAGATATATTATGACTGAATAACAATTTGATCATATTTTAGTATAAATCAAACAATGAATTGACTTATTAAATATTTCAGATGAACTATAATTTAATATAAAAAAATCAGACTTAAAAATACAAAATGAATATTCCATCACAATCTCAATCATCACCAATTATTCATTTTACTAGTGTAAATTTGAAAGAAATTTTATAAAGAAATTTTTTTTTTCTTAATATTTCCTTATTAAGATTGTACGTCATGGTTCAAGTGCATCGAATCATATAATTGTTTCACCTTCTACATCAATTGATTATGATAGTCAACAACAATTTTCAGCCTTAGTCAGTCGTCCTCAATCAACACCTATAACATCTCCTTTATTACTTTCACGTTTATCTTCAAATATTTTTGATAATCAACAAACAAATGAAAATTCAACAACAATTACAAAAAATAGTAAAAAACAACGAATAACAACACTTAATTATTCATCATTAACCAATGTAACACCTTTAAATGAAATAAATAATAATATAAAATCTCCAGTTCTATTTGAAATATCTGACGATGATGACGATGATGATGATGATGATGATGGTAATAGTAATAAGAAGAAGAATAAAGAAGATCGATATCTTCTTCGACCACCACCACTTATGGTACTTTCTCAAAGTATTCAAGCTAAACATCCTGAACAATTAACTGATACTAAATTAAATAATAGATTTTCATCAATTAAAGATTTACCTAATGCACCAGCAAATTATTCATTTTTTTTCTATGGTTTTACATTAACGTTAGTATTTCAAAAACAACAAAAAAAAATTAATATAAAAAAAAAAAATTTTATTTTTAATTTACAGACAAATCGAAGAAGCTAAACGATTAACTCGTCGTATGGGTGATTGTTTCACATCTGAAATAATTGATTTAACAACAACACATGTTATTTTACCTAATGATGATCCTCATATGACAATAACACTTGATCTTATTCTTGCACTTATCTATGGATGGTTAGTTGTTTTTTGTTTTGAAAAATCTTAAATGTGATTCGATATAAATAGAAGACGTATAAATTGATGCTAAAACTCAAACTACGTAGTTTGTAGATCAATGTCGGATTCAGTGTCTCACTGATAAACTGTACGATCCTTACAATAAAAAATTGATTAATTAGATGTGAATCTGTAAAATTGTGAACAATTTTATTCACAAGAACTTCTTAAATAGAACAAGATCTATAATCGCTCGAATTCTTACATAAGTTGTCTATTGATGTTTGTATTAATTCAAATGCAATTGCTTATTTTTATTTCATTAATAAGAATCCGAATCTGACATCGATATATAGACTAGTTATAGCTTCAACTTCAATTTACCTCTTAATTCGGTATTGAACACCTTCAATATCGGATTCGACACTTGTCAAAGACAATTATAGATTGAGTGTAATCTTAGTTTGGACACCAACATATATAAATGGTTCATATAAGATAAAAGTAATTTTACTTTCAACTAAATGATTTGATTTCAATCGATCTAGATGACATAACAAAGATGAAAATTGAATTCATTTCACTACAATGTAAGACTTCTGTCAAGTTTTATTTTTGTATATTTGTTTATCTCTAACAGTAGTTTTAATAATAGGAGTGTCTGAATTGAAACTATATAATAAGATTACGGATGATCTAAATAATTTAATTTGTAGTCGTTTAGTAACATTCGAATGGTTAAAATCTTCATCAAATATTGGTGAATGGTTACATTTTAATAGATTTGAACCAAAAAAATTTTTTAATTCAAATCCATCATTAAATATTTATCGTAAATTTCGTCAACAACAAAAATCAATTGAATTATTTAGTCAATGTGGTTTAATTTATTTAACATCTCTTGTACAACAACGTCAATTATTACTTAAATTAATTACATTATTAGGTGGAAATGTAAATATTCAAGAATTGTTTAAACAAAAACAAAAAAAAAGAAAGATTTCGATTTTCTTTTCTTTTATAGATTACAATTTGTCGTGATCGTGCAAAAATTCTTGTTGGACAATCATCAAAAATACTTCAGATAATTATTCATCCACAAGTTAATGAACAATGGGTTATAGGTTTAATAATGAAGTTTTTTTTTTTTTGTTTATTATTTTATATGAATTAATTTTCTTCAGATTCAATTAAAATGGGAAAATGTCTTTCGACAGATGATTATTTACTTGAAAATTATAATGACTTGTCAACATAGATTAAAATCACATTGATTATATCAAATTATTTTTTCTTTTTGTTGTTTTATTATATTTCGATTTCTTTTTTTTTTTTTTTCTATAGCCTCTTTTACATGTATATCTAATAAAAGTATGAATAGAAAAAAAAAAAAACAAAACAAAACAAATATTTGAACATATGATTTTTATCAATATGATACAGAAAATTGATTTGATATGTAAAATAATTGAAGTGTGATAGAGAACAAGTCATCGTCATTGATTATAATTCAATGAAGTCTTATATTTCTTTTTTCTCTAACAATCAATTGTATGAACAGTGCTGTGAGCATTAAGCTCAAGTGGTTTACTTTTCTTTCTTTTCTTATTCGTTCTCTATGTTTTTTTTTCTTGGTTATGATAGTAGCGTCAAATTCTTAGGAAGTTCTGTTCTCTTTTTTTTTTGTCTCATATTGCGCGTTCTATATGAGCCAAGAAAAAAAGTGAAGGAAAAGGAGGAAAAGAAAAAAAAAAGTGAAAACTATTTTATTGCCGTTGTCGTGCTGATGACCTTTCAACAATGGGTGACTTATAATGATAAGTTGAACAGTTTTTTTTTTGTTGTTGTTGTTGTTGAATAAATGGATAATATATCGATTAGAAATCGATTTCGATCGATTCTTTATGTTCTTATTCATTTTTCATGTTCACTTATTCAATTGGCTTGTGTATTTGCTATATTAGGCTTACAGATAACATTAACAGTTACTCAAACATGTGCATTTCGTATTGGTGTTGGTTTTTGGTCAGCACCATTTTTATTAGCTGCACCAATTAGTATATGGTTACTTATATGGAAACGAAATTCAATTTATTGTTTTATAGCTTTTATTATTCATATATGTTCAACTTTATTTGCAAGTACTATTATTATTATTAGTTTTCTTGTACTTATTGGACAAATAGGATCTCCATGTTCAATATCTTCATCATCGAATAGTTATGTTTTATCAATAAATATAACATTAATTGCTGTATCAGTATTTTATAAATCATTTATTTATACTGAAATGTTTGTACTTTATATGTTACAACGTTATATAGCTGAACCATCTATTTTATTAGATAAACATGATTATGAAAAAAATTATCAAATTATAACAAATGATATAAATACTAAAACATGGAATTGATTCAGATCAATAATTACTAAAAATCAACATAATATTAATGACATGAATATATTTAATGGTAAAAAAAAACAATAATTAATAAAAATTATTTATCTATTGATATTTTCTTTTCTCTGTTGTATGTATTCGTCAGTATAGAATTTTTTTGATGTTTATAAAAACAAGATTTTGTTCTATTCAAACTGAAAAGTTGTTTTCAAAATTTGATTGAAGTCTTTTTTTTTCATAATATAAAGCACTAAATACTTTCATTCACTATTGATTTTTACTTGATTTTCTAAGCAATAGACTCAAAAAAAAACAATTGAGATTTTTATAAAATTTATTAAGACTGAACAACATAACTGTTCTATAAATGTGTTCAATTCAGTTTTTATTTTTATTTCCGACATATTCAAGGTTAAAGCCAGATTAAACATTGCTCAACATAGTGAAAATAATCTTCATCATAGCGAACAAGTGCATGAGAACAAATAAGTTATAGTTCTTCTACCATTAAACACACATATTCATATTGTCATTATTATAGTGTATAGATTTGCACCTACTTATGTATATATACATATAGTCTAACATTGATTATGAGCAAGTCAAAAGCTATACAAATGACAAGTCAATTGAAGTCAAATAATACAATATTTCCTATTATTTTTAGATGATAGGTACTTATTAATATCTCATATACAATTTTTGACCATGTAAACATTAATAATAGACATTGTTTTTAATAACAACAGGTAGTTATATGAGGGTTACAAAACTACATTTTATTGTCACTAATTCTTCTATATAAGCAATAGGAGATCAAAAGCGATAAATAGAATATAGAAGTATATTTCAATCAGAATGTTTGAGTGGTACTAGAAATGTAAATATATATACACATGAACTCATTTGCATAAAAATTCAAACTATAAGTAGATAGGATTTGAATTCTACTAGTAAAAATCAAGTATATGTATGTGACGATGACAATGTGTCATT